GCCTTTCCTTTGTACTTGTAATAAAAGCATTTGTGAAGAAATTCACACTGCACATGCCATCTGGCATCGCTGGAACGAAATATGAGTGCACCCTAATTAAAATCGTAAAATTTCTGACAATGAGCACCGCCATTCACTCCAATATCACCCCTGCACCGCTGACCCTCATTCCAAAAGAATGTGCTGGTTGGGCGACATAACAGGTTACCGCTACTGTTTATTCCAAAAACATTGTGCGTCTTTCGGAATTAAATTCTAAAAATATCACGTAAATTTCGTTACAATTTCTCAGAAACGATCATTGCGGGAAAATTGTGTGCTGGGACTAAGATTTTTTAAGGATCGATGCGATAAAACGATAGTTCGAGGAACGATAGAAGCGGGAAAATGTAACATTATTTTATATGGGATGTATTCGGGACCGAACAAAACGGACGATGCATCCGGGAAAACGATAGTTCCGGGAACGATTGATAGAGGTTTCACTGTATTGATAAGAAAACAGCACTCTTACTTTAAAACACTGTCAAACTGCTATACAGTGGTGTCCACGTATAAAACATTCTCTGTGTTCACTAGCCAACTTCATTTTTTTTTGTGGTGGCTGCAATGCAAGGAAATTATAACCTTATGTGAGCCTCACTTGTGGAATAAACAACTGACCACATTGGTGATAGTCCTATGCTTTTATTAATAACTTATTTAAAATAAATATTTGATTTTGGTCGCAGCTATTTGTTATCGTACAGAGTAATAAAATATAAGAAAAATCACAAACATGTGTGCAGACCCCACTAAACACATTGGCAGGCCAAATGCGACTCATGGGTTGAGAATCCATACTCTAGAACAGTGGTATTCAACCTTTTTTGTTCGCGTACCCCCAGATATAATTTCTCTTCAACTTTGTACCCCCAAAGTTGTTGGTGTATAATTCAAGTTACACATAGTATATAATCTACATCTAAAATAAATTAAATAAATTACATTACTGATTATTCAGTATTTATCATAAAATAATATATATAAAAATTTTAAATTTCATGTACCCCCTAAGATGTCTTCGTGTTCCCCACACGTACTGCTCTAGAACAATGATCATGAAATATGAAAATGTTCCCAGCATCTGGTAAGAAACAGGACATTAAAATGGGTTGTAATTGGTACACAAAGAAGTCCCATATAAAGTAACTCCCTGAACTGTAAACTTAATATGATCATGAAAACATCTTTGATTCTGAGCGTTTATTTGTTCTTTGGTGGAGATACCTTGAGTCAGCTGAAGGAATAAACAGGAAGCAGTTATTCAGACATTAATTACTCTGAAACATATATTTGTATCCGCGTAAGTTATGATAAACATCTACCACTCAAATGTTTGCAAGTGAAATGCTCTTAATCCAGGCAGTAGCCATATTGTAGTCCAGAATAATCTAAATTTTACATTTATTATGTTGTGACTTTGGGACTCATTTCCTAACATAAGTTTCTGGATTTTTATATTTGCGCTTAACTCTACATAATGATGACTTTGTGCTGTTTTCCTCAGGCATGGATCCAATTCTTCTACACTGCAACTTGGTTCTGGACACTGTGTTATGCATTTGATGTAAGACGGATGCTGAAGTCACAGAGCGAATGCCCCATTTGCTACCACATCACTGCGTGGCTAAGTCCTGCTTTATTGACATCAGCGGGACTCTTTGTTCTTTATGCACCTGACGCAAAGTAAGTCACAGCTTCTGGTGTGATGTGTGTTACACGTCAGAATGTTGAGATGTACTGCACGATCATCCGCTTTATCTGTAGATACAGTGCCCTATAAAATAATGAGGGCTCCTCAGGAGGTCCATGCTTGCTGGGTCACTGTTACCTCAGGATGGTGTGTACTCATATTGCGGATGGAGACACAGCCTCCAGTTATGGAGGTTAGCTGTGAATATATTGAATAAGCAGTCGCGGACAGCCGACGAAGGGTGGTATTTCAGCTTGGGGGTTGAGTGAGAGGCTAACAAACTTTCACCATAAAAACTGTATTGTTACGAACACATTAACTAAGCCTCGGACCAGGACGGACTCTTTGGCACGACCATGGCAATTGAAAAAGGATATGAGATTTGGAACCTAAACTGTTAGGAGTCCCTGTAGGGCAGGGACACTGAAACCAGTGAGTAGGGAATTAGAGAATTATAAATTAGATTTAGTGGCAGTGGAGGAGGTGCGATTGGAGGGGGAGGGCATGATCCCAGTGGAAAATTTCAAGTTTTTCTAGAGAAAGGGCTGTGATAATCATCAGTTAGGGACAGGTTCTTTGTTCATTGCAGAATTAGGACAGCAGTTAAGAGAGTAGAATTTGTTAGTGACAGGTTAGCTTATATAATTTTGGAAGGACGTTAGTGCGACATCATTGTCCTTAATGTTCATGCCCCAACTGAGGACAAAAGCGATGATATCAAGGATAGCTTTTATGAAGAATTGGAATCAGTATTTGATACATTTGGCAAGTATCACATGAAAGTTCTGCTCGGAGATTTTAATGCAAAAATTGGGAGGGAGGATATCTTCAAACCCACAATAGGCAGGGAGAGTCTGCATGCACTTAGTAATGACTGTGGTGTTAGAGCAACAAACTTTGCTATGTCAGAAGATCTAATTATAAATAGTACAAAATTTCCTTATTGTGATATTCACAAATACACTTGTACTTCTCCAGAAGTTAGCACACACAATCAGATAGATCATATTCTGGTTGATAATAGAAAAATGTCAATAGGGAATGGGAAAATGTCAGAAACTGTATCAAAATTTCAGCCAAAGAGAAATTTGGATACTAGAGGAAAAAGCAAAATAAACCATGGTTTGATGAAGAATGTTCAAAAAGAATAGATGCAAGGAAGCAAACAAAAGTTCAATGTTGCAGGACCCGAACAAAACAAATACAGATAATCTATGTAGCATGAGATGTGAAGCTTGCAGAACATTCAGGAATATCTGAAATGCAAAATTATTGAGCTTGACACAAGTAGTAAAGACAAAAATATCAAAGATCTGTACAGAGGCACAAATGATTTTAAGAAAGGATATCAGCCTGTCTAATTTGGTAAAGGATGATAATGGCAAATTACTTGCAGATCCAAATAGGTGGGAAAAAAGTGTCTTTAACCAGCTCAAGTGTTTATGAGGTTATTCAGTTAATTTGGGATAAGGAAGAGATGCCACAACAGTGGAAGGAATCCATAATTATTCCTATTCATAAGAAGGGGGACGAGACTGAGTGTGGTAATTACCGAGGAATATCGCTGCTATCAACCTCATACAAAATTCTATCCAACATTCTTTTGGCAAGATTAACCCCATATGCGAATGAAATTATTGGGGATCATCAGTGTGGGTTCAGACGAAACAGATCAACGATTGATCAGATCTTTTGCATTCGTCAGATACTAGAGAAAAAATGGGAGTTTGGTGGGACCATACATCAATTATTTATAGATTTCAAGGAAGCCTGCAACTCTGTTAAGATAGAAGTGTTATACAATATTCTCATTGAATTTGGTATACAAAACAAGCTAGTGAGTCTAATAAAAATGTGTAGCAAAATTCGAGTAGGTAAATATTTATCTGACTCATTTTTCATCAAGAACGGTCGGAAACAAGGAGATGCTTTGTCTCCCTTGCTCTTTAACTTTGCGCTAGAATATGCTATCAGGAAAGTCCAAGATAGGCAGCAGGGTTTACAATTGAATGGGACACATCAGCTATTGGCATATGCTGATGATGTTAATTTATTGGGGGATGATATGAATACAATAAAGAGGAACATAGACTACAGGTATCTGAGAATAGGGTGTTGAGGAAGATATTTAGGCTTAGGAGAGAAGACGATAGGGCATGGAGAAAACTGCATAATGAACTTAAAAATTTGTACTCCTCCCCCAATATTGTCAGGGTGATTAAGTCGTGAATAATGAGATGGGCGGGGCATGTAGCACGCATGGATGGGACAAGAGGTGTGCACCAGGTACTGGTTGGGAAACCTGAGGGGAAGAGACCGCTGGGGAGACTTAGACGTAGATGGGAGGATAATCTCAGGCGGGATCTATGGGAGATAGGAGTTGAAGGAGACTGGATTTTGTTGGCCCAGTACAGTGTCATTTGGAGGGTTTTGGTTGGTTCGGTGATGAACCTATGGGTTCTGTAAGCCATCTAGTTAGTTAGTCAGGAGGTAATTGTGTTTGGTGTACATATAACTCATTGTACAGCGTATTTCCTGATAAATTTCAATAAAACTGTTACTACTGGCTCCCAGCTGAAACTGCTTTATCATAGGTGAGTTTACATTATGGAGCAATACTTGATTCCTACTGGGAAGACCTTGTAGCACTTGGTGATGACTTATGCAGTTCCAGCTGGAAGGCAGGAAGTGACGGTTGCATTTAACTCCATCAGTGAATTTTATGGGTTATCATTAACAAGTCACACAAGTCACACATTGCATGCTTTGTATTATTTGTTGGTAACAACGAGCAGGCTTCATGTTTTAAACAATTGTCAGCCTCCCTCTTTTAATACAGCACAGTGAAAGTTTGGTTTAGCAAGTATGGCGTATAAAGGAAAGTCCATTTCTTTTCTTTATACTCGGTATCTGTAATAATGTAAGATGTAGGGATATTTTTCAGAAATGTCATCATTTTTAATATAACGAGCACTTTTCATCAACGTATGCATAAACGCATGTTTGTGAATGTGGCATAGTCACCATTTCATAATATGTTCAGAATTAATTTAGTGTTTGGTAAATAATTCTGGACAAAACAATTGATATTTGATAATGGATTGATTTTCCATCCCCTACTTCCAACCACAAACATGAAAAGGAGCATCAGATATAGGCTTTGTGCATTATGTAATAAGTGTGATTTAGCAGTTGATGTAACAGACCTCTTGGGCTCCTTGTGAGAAGTTGTAAGAGCCTTGCACCCACAGAAAAGAAAATCAAAGTGCAAGTGCAGTTTTTGGACAAGACTATAACAGAACAAAATGCATTAAAAACTGTCATTAAAATGTACATATAAGTATTTCCAAATTTCATGGAATATTGATGACAAACATGAAAAGGAGCATCAGATATAGGCTTTGTGCATTATGTAATAAGTGTGATTTAGCAGTTGATGTAACAGACCTCTTGGGCTCCTTGTGAGAAGTTGTAAGAGCCTTGCACCCACAGAAAAGAAAATCAAAGTGCAAGACAAGCATTGCATGTTATCACGATAGCAACTAGCAACATAAAAGCTCAGCTGTAATTTATAATAGCAATCCATATATCTCAGAATGTTATGTTGTTATGCTGACACTAGCGCATTCACATAAATGTTTTCCTTTTCCTAATTGAAGGTAAACTGTCAATAAGGTAAATACGCTACTTTAGTTCTACAGAATGTACACAAATGTAATTGAAAACATTGTGATATAAATGGTTAAATTGAAATAAATTAATTCTTTGCTGATCAGTTCTGGAGGCAATGTTTATCTTCCCAGATGTTTAATTGCCTGTGTTATAATGACGAATGACCAAATATTTTGAACTCTCATTTTATTGGACGTCTGCATTCAAGTTACACAGTTTTTGTACTGTTTATCAAATATTTACTTTATGATAAGACTACGTTGTAAAACTATAAACACAGTTTTTGGACAAGACTATAACAGAACAAAATGAATTAAAAACTGTCATTAAAATCTACATCTAAGTATATCCAAATTTCATGGAATATTGATAAATGTTACTTACAAATAATTTTATTTTTGGTTGTGGTAATGCATTTGGTTTTGTAGAAGGTACTGGCCATATCATATTGGTATTGTCTGGGCTACAGAATGGCTCGCAGAATGACTGTGAATCGCTGTTGCTGCTGGGTAGAAACAATTTATGTGAAAGAAGTGTAACTTTACACAGAAAGAATAAACATATTTAATAGTTAACAGTTGGTTATATGCTAAATATAATGTATTTCATCCGTGGACTGAAGTTTCCCAAAAAATATTTGAGAGCGTCAAACTTCTAAACAACTTTGTAACATGGGAATTTAATTTGTTCAGAAACTGCACATACTCTAGTACTATTTGCAAAACACGTCATAGGTAAAAACTGGAATAGTAAAAACTAGATAAAAATAGATTAACTGTTTAAAGTAAGTTAGTTAAAGAAAAGCTGTCCTGCTATATATTAATTTTCTGAATAACATACTGAATGAATGAAAAATATCAGCAGTCTTTATTGAAGATGTCAGAGCTTCTGCAGTTCACATTAATGACAGAAACTTGTAGATGAGGGACTTATCTTCAGGTGATGGTGTACACTGTGAGTAGTTCCTAAACTATCATCATAGCTGTTTGTGCACTAACAGAATGGAAGAGGATCTAAACATGTTTAAAAAAGAATGACGTAGAACAGGCCATTGAGATGTCATTGTCTGAATTAAGTGTTGTGACATTCAGTGTAGATGATATGCCTTCATATTTATTGCCACACAATCCCATAATAATCTGCTATAGCTTGAACTGCAAACATTCTTTGGATGCTTTCAATTTTAGACAGATCTGTTGCTGAAATAGAGTACCAAGCAACAGATACGTACTCTGGTGAGTTGGGCCACATGAGTGCTGTCAGCAATGAAGAAAAGAAGACTGTCTTGAATCAGAACCAATTCTTCAACCCTGATAAAATATTAAAGAAGTGCGTACAGTCCAACAGAGGTCTGAGATCCTTAAACAGAGATTATTACATCAAGATGACTGTCTTCGTCTGTGCTGTGTGTTAGAAGTTTACTGATGTCTCAGAGGTTCTTGCTGCCTCCATCATCAAGGCAATTAGTAAGCTGCACGTGAGGAATTGGTTTGAGATTGTGTGTGGGGGGGAGGAGGTTTCATAATGTGTAGGAAGTTCTTATAGGTTAAAGAATCAGAGCCACAGAATCTTACATTTTATCTTCAGGAGGCGCTTAGGAGATATTTACTTACTAGTGATAATTATACTGAATATTTGCAGTAACCAGTGTTTATATTCTTAAAACACAGCTATGTTATTTTCTTCAAAGCATCAGGTTTTAAGCGTGAATTTTACGTTGCAGCATTCTGCATATTCGTTTTTTTCACAGTTGTCATGATGTCAGCACTCTGTCAGGGGCCCTGACACACATCATGCCAAACTATGGTGCCACTTTCTTGCCCATGGCCGCCATCATGATTGTCAATCCTATTTTGTATTGCTGTTCAACCCAAGATGTCAAGTTCATTATCTCTGTCAGACTTGGTCAGTACACGCAAAAGGAACGCAATACCGTTGATGGAATAAAGACCAAATTCTTGTTCATCACCCTGACTTTCTACATCTGCTGGCTTCCAAACCTCATCTGTGGAGTGCTGCTCTGGTCCCTGTGGGTTCACTTGCCACAGTCTGTGATTGTATCTTTGTGGTATGTCATGGTGAGTATTCACTTTAACAATTGAGTTGTTTCTGAAAACAAAAATCATGGCCACAGTTACATATTCATGTGATTTGGACAAGATATCTCATGAAGGTACGAGTGAATATCCCATTTACGCAGTCTAACTAAACTGAACTACACTGTTAAGGTCTCAAGCATTGTTTTTAAAACTCAGAATAGACTCTGCTATTCTGTGCAGTGGTTTCATAAAAAATAAAAGAGTTCGCTCCAAAGTCAGATCGTAGTGAGCGTGCAGGCAAAGGGAGGGGCACGGTAATAATATAAAGTAGGCAGAAGTGAAAGTAGATTAATACTTTGCTTCTTATTTTAACATGATTATAAAGTGAACCTTGCATGGAGCTTTACGCTGCAGTCTCAGCTGCGTTCACATTTATATGTGCATGCAGGAAAAATAACAGTACAAAAGTGTAATTTTCAGGCAGTGATGAACCCTCTGCAGGCATTATTGAATGCCATGGTATACCGGCGTTGGTCATGCGATGCAGAGTGCATCAGTTGGCCATGTTCACCTTGTGGAGACTCCAGTCCTCTGTCTGTTTACTCACAGCCCCACTCTTTCAATCATGTTGCCCCCCTGCAGGATGAAGATACTCCATTGCTGCGCAGTCATGAGGACAGAATTCATAATACCAGAATGAGTATCAATGGGATTTAAACATTCAAGACAGTTTTAAACACTTTGGTACTAATACTGTATTCCACATTTTCTGGAATAAGAAGAAGAAACTTTTAGTATTCATTAAATACCGTATGTGATATTTGAAAGTATATTGCAGTTCTGTGTTTTCTTTAATAAAATGTTGAAGCCATGTTTTAATTTCTGAGTTAGGCGTAACAGTTAATATGTTTGTAAATCCATCTTCATTCCTGTTCATATTACTAGCTGTTTCATAGTGAATACTGCCATAGCTCAAGGTTGTTTGTAAGGCACAAAGTCATCACTGTGATGAACAGGGCAGCACCGTGGCAGGTTATTTAGTTTCTCAGGCACAAAGTCATCACTGTGATGAACATGGCAGCACTGTGGCAGGTTATTTAGTTTCTTTTTGCTGGTTATCATTCCATGTAAGCTCCAAATTCATCTGCTACTGTACATGAGATGTAACATTATCACATCCTCACTTCTCAGTTTGGAATTCGCTACTGCCTCAGTATGTAATTGGACTCGGAGTAAAGGAGTTAACATAAGACACAGAACAAAGCAACTGCATATTTTATATGTGTGTGATGTGTGATTTTATAGTCATGTTTTGCATCAAGAATGTTTGAAAAGACAAAAAGGGATTTCAATGGTTAAACATGTTTTTTGTTACAGTATCATTATTTTATTATTTCAAAGTAATTGACTGTAACAAAATAAGGAATTTGATATACAGACATGCTGTATTTATGTCTTACAAATTTAAACTACAGCTGTATTAAACACAGCTAAGGCAGATATATTATGTGTATATAATTATAATTCTGCCAAATATTTAAAATATAAGAAAAGCGTATAATAACAGAAATGTAATGTAATTAGTTTTAATACATGTGTCATGTAGTTCAGCTATATTTTACTACTTCCTGTAAAACTATGAGAAAGTTTGAAATTGTCACTTTCTATTATACTGTCAATATCATAGCCAATGCAAAAAAGTAAGAGAAGTTTCTTATATTTATGTATTGAATTTAAAGTATTTACTTAAAAAATTCTATAAATTCTTCAATCTTATAATTTGTGAAATGTGTTGCTTATAACTATGTTAAATGGTCACAATGGTATGCCAGGCTCTCAAGAGGGGATTTTCAAAGCAGATGCAGTCAGCTGAAGAAGGGTAGTCTTTTAGCTTGGTGGTTGGGCAGTGGAAAGAAGATCTCACCATTATCCGGCATGATACAAAATGTTACACAGTCTGTGGGTTAATTGAAAATGGTAGCAAGAGAAAATGAAAAGTATAACCTAGAAGCAACTTTCTGCAGATTCCCACAGAATTTTGAAAAATTAAAAGAATTACTGTTGTCAGTTATTGAATGTATAAGAGGTTAGAAATGTTAGTCGAGCCATTAGTACCCGAGAGTATTTGTCTTGCTTCAGATTTAAAGGCTGAAGAGATATAAATTTCAATGTATTAACCGGATTTCAGAACTGATCAAAGCAGCACTTTTGGGACCTACCGTACAGTCTGCGCTATCGAGAGTATCACTAAATGAAGTACAAGTAACAGGTTTTCATTGACAATACTCAAGGTCTGATACTTACCTGGAATCATTATATCATTACCCCTGCTTAAGTTTTTACTTCACTAAAAATTACTTTTATGACGAGGAACAACTGCTGTAGGTTTCAGACACCTGTAGGGGTCATAATTTAGCAGCTGCTGATTATTAATCCAAAAGTTTCTTTTAGCTTTATTGAAAGTTCTATATTACTGTTTCCAGCTTAGGTGACCTCAAAATGAAGTGAAGGCAAATTGGGAAATGACCTGCCATTTCCTTGACCCCCCCTTCCCCCCTTATACATTGCAATTTAATTTAGCTTCCATTAGAGGAAGAATGGATTTAAGGGACAAGTTAATGCTATCACTTTGCTCGATGGACCAGGTATAAATTATAATAAACCAATCATATCATCTTGATCATCAGAAGAACAAGACTGTAATTAGCCAGTCACCTGTGACAGACTTAAAATTAATTAATTAAGCAAGGGAGAATTAGATTTATGAACATGTGGTACTCCAAAATATCAAATTCCCAAATACTTAGATCCTAATTACTAAACATAACAGATGGCACAAGCTGGGCAGTATTTATTATTACAAAAATTTTGAAGAAACTTAAAAATTAAGTTCTATGAATATTCAAATCAAGCTGGCAGTCTATAAATTTTTATCAGGCTATATAAGATTTAAATCTTTCATGGTGGCTGAATGCTGTAAAGCCTTAGGCAATCAGCCATGTGAGAATGAATTTCAGAGACTGTCTCTGCCGCAAGCTTCACAACGGTGGCAGGGGCAGACTCCGGAATTCTCTATCACATCTCCACTTCTGGTCTGGTTAATTTGATGTTATAGTGCAGTCAGTCAAGTATTATGAACATTCATCTGTATTTCTGGCAAACATTGATTATATTGTGTCGTATGGTTAAGTGAGTGACTTAAAAGAACTTATACTCAAATGTAGAAGGTTATCCAGTTTAAGTGAACACTATCCAAAAATAAACCTTGTCAATTTTACCTGATTTCTTTCTTATGCTTAATTATATACACTGATAAATCGCCGCTTGCACCTGTACCACTGACCAACATCATGCCCAGTCTTCACACATGTAAATCCTGAGATAACTCATAGTCCATCACTGACTGTAAGTGCCTAAATCCTATCCTTCTACCCTTGTGAAATCAAAGATGTGGAAGGTTGAAAACAGGCTGACGACAGTTACAAAGATTTGTGTGTGAACATTGGGTAAGATAATTATCTTACCCAATATAATCAGCCAGTTCGTATGGGATTACAGGGATCAGTCTAACATTTTGTGTCAAGATGGACCACGAATATACAGCATTCGTGTGAGTCTGGCAAGGTCTACATTGGGCAGACTGGCCGTTCTGTCGAGATTAGGGTCAAGGAGCACCAGCGTCACATCCGGATGGAGCAACCTTTGAAATCCGACGTCCCCCAACACAGCTTCAACCTAGGCCATCGTATCCAGCTCCAACACAACTCTATCCTGTCCCCCAGATCCGCGTACATGGACCGGAAGATCAAGGATGCCATCAAAAGTTAACTACATCCTAACAACTTCAACAGGGAGAATGGACTTCGCCTGGAAGCCACTCATTGACTCTGTCCAAGGACTCCGGAAGCGTCCCATAAACATTGCAAGTCCCGTCCGGGTTACGACCAACTAACCTAAAAGCTAACTAAGGGCGGAGTTCTGAACAAGCGCGAGACATCATCCCTTGCTAGGGTACACCATTACTGGAAATTGTAAACAGAGCCTTATGACTAAAACGGGAATTTGCTTACACTAACGGGGGTTTTGTCGTGGCGGGAGTCTGGGGTCTGTTGCTGCTGATGAGTGGTTATCCCGTCAGGCAACTTGTATTTTGGAGGCAGACACCGACCAGCAGACACCGAGCAAGCAGTTTTTGGTTGGTTGGTTCTCTGGGGTTTGAACCCAGAATCTGAGTGGGGCGGGGTCGCTTAGGCTGAAGGCCTCTGCGACTTGAGGGGAGAAATCACTTAAGCTGAAGGTCTCCGTGATTGGGGATAACGGGCCGTGCCCCTCTTGAGTTATACTCTGGAATTTTAGCGGCCGAGTCCGGCTGAGACAGAGATAGGCATTCACTGTGAGGGGAGAAATCACTTAAGCTGAAGGTCTCCGTGATTGGGGATAACGGGCCGTGCCCCTCTTGAGTTATACTCTGGAATTTGCCTTACAATTGAGGAAAAGCACGGAAAACCTCAGTAAGTGTAGCCGAGTGGACAGACCACTCGTTGCGCCGACTTGGCCGTCTTTTGGGGACAGCCTCGGCTGGCCAGCTGAACACCAAACCCCCTCGGTTGCCCTTGGGTGACCTATGATAGCCCTCGTTCGGCACGAGTGCCTCCCGAGTTGCCGGACTAAGGGGTTCCCCACACCAGCTAACTTCGAGTCAAATCTCTCAGTCAGTGCTCTGATGTGGTCGGCGAAGAGCGAGATCCCCAAATCCTCGTGAACTTGCCTCTTACTAACGAACCAAATCGCGTTAGTCGCAATGCGAAGACACTTGGATTGCAACACTTGCAGCTTCCTGGCGTGGCAGCTGACCTCCAGATCGGGCATGCGTAATCCATCATAGGAAGGATGAAATTCTTGTAGAGCAGCACACCGATGGACAGGCCAGTTCTCCTATTGAGCGGGCCTAGCACACCTAATCGTTGCGCCGCCTTCTTTCCCACCTGGTTGACGTGCAACGACCAGGTAAGCCCGGCGTCAAGGGTGACCCCCAGATACCGCGCTGTTTTGACCCATTGGATCGGCTGTCCGAGAAACTGCACTGCTCTGGGCTGTTGGATGTGTCTTCTCGCGGAAATGAAGAGAACCGCGGTGCTTTCAAGACGTTGATAGCAATCTTCCAGTCCCTGAGCCAGAGGTCCAGTCTACAGATGTAGGCCTCCAGGTAACCGACGAGGAGAGTAGGACTACAGGATGTAGCTGCGAGAGCCGCGTACAGCGCTAACTCGACGTGGCGGGACGGTGTGGGTATGTCATTGACATACAGACTGAAGAGCACAGGAGAGACGAGTCCACCCTGAACAACTACGGCCCGCATGGCATGACGTGTGGAAGTGGCCAACTGGAATGACGTTTGGAATGTTCGTCAAGCAAGGTAGGATGAGATAATTTTCACCAGGTAGGACGGGAAGTTGAGGACGGTTAGTTTGTAAAAGAGGCCTTCGACCCATACCGTGTCGAAGGCTTTGGCCACGTCCAGGAAAACCGCGCCGGTCAGCCTCTTCTCTTCAGTGCTCCTGTTGACCCTTTGAATGAGGCGGGCCAGCTGCAGCGTCCTGCTGTGTCTGGGTCGAAACCCAAACTGATCGTCACGCAACCTGGACGTCAAGGTTGTCAGCCATGGCATCCATTTTCTCAGAATCCGAAAGAGCCAGTCCTCCCGGCACTTACAAGGGGGCGGCGGAGTGGGGACTCGCATCACCCAGCAGATGTCGCTGTGGCCTCATCGATGGCACTTATCACGGGATTCCACGGGAGTCTGCTTTCGAGGCAAGCCATGAATGCACCCCAGTCCATTAGCGTGAAGTAGGGGCGGTCAGGTAGGTTCAGAAAGGATGATCGACACTTAGTGTCGATCAGGACGAGCAGGTGATCTGATCTGAGTGCGAATCAGACACACCGGTTGAACGAAGTCCGTGAAGACTGCAATGTCAAGGACGTCAGGAGCCGTTATTGGGGAGTCCGGTCTGTAGATCAAACATACTTTCTGTTAGCAGGAGCGAACCCTACGCAGAGATCGGCCTAGAGTTTCAGTCCGTGTGCTCCGTGTCGAGGTCACTAGCCACCAGAATGGGATACACCCGCTCAGGCACTCCATCAGGACCGACTCGGTACAGGGTCGCGTGGGCGAGAGTTATGCCGCCACGAGCTTCACTATACTTGTTGCCAACACTAGGAGAATGGCAGTGGCCTCCAGGATCTGCCGACAAGAGACTCCCACAGAAAGGTGATCAGTGCCTCTACTGACAAAGATCGCCCTGCCTTCCACCGGCGTAGGGCGGTCCGTCCGGTGGCAAGCACAGTTCGCGAAACTTAGGACCCGACGCGATGTGAGGTGAGTCTCGTTCAGGAGGCAAACACCGACACACGAAAACCATCGGCATTGGCTCTGTGCGCTTTTTCGACAATTTCCAGCATATTTCGATTTTTTTGAAATTTTTCAAAATTCTCGTAACAGTTGCCTTGCAGAACCGTTCTGTTTCGGACGGTTTCTGATGTACTGTGTCTCCAATGAATGCGGCCTGTACATGAATCGGTGTCTGCTCGGAGTGGTCTCTTTATGACAGGGCTCTCTGACCTGCAGTTTCTAAACAGTCTTAGTCCGCCAGACAACACGTAAGGCAGAGAATCAGACCAACAGATACCGAGACAGGCAGGAACCGGGTGTGATAGCGGCCGAGTCAGGCTGAGACAGAGAGAGGCATTCACTGAGATTGGCAGGTTTCTCTTGGGGAGATTTTACAATTTTTTTTAAATTTTTCAAAACTTTCAAAAAATCAAAAAATGTTGGAAATTGTCAGAAAAGCGCACAAAACCAATAATTTTTGAAAAATTTGGGAAAAAATTTTAATGTGAAATTTTTCAAATTGTCTTGGTTTTGTGCGCTTTTTGGTTAAATTCCAGCATTTTTTGATTTTTTGAAAATTTTTAATTTTTTCAAAATTCTCGCAAATGTTGCCTTGCAGAACCGGTCTGTGTCTGACTGTTTCTGATGTACATTGTCTCTAAGGAATCCGGTGTGTACATGACTTGGTGTCTGCACTTGACTTGTCTCTGTATGACACGGCTCTGACGTGCCGTCTCGGAACAGCTCTAGTGAGCAGACATCACGTAAGGCAGAGATACCGACCAGCAGACACCGAGTCAAGCAGAGGCCGGTTGGTGCAGACACCGAGGCAGGCAGGAACCGGGTGTGATAGCGGCCGAGTCCGGCTGAGACAGAGAGAGGCTGTCACTGAGATTGGCAAGTTTCTCTTGGGGAGATTTTAGAAATTTTTTTAAAATTTTAAAAATTTTCAAAAAATCGAAAATTGCTGGCAATTGTGTGAAACGCGCAAAAAACCAATATTTTTTGAAAAATTTGAGAAAAAAATTTAATGTGAAATTTTTCAAATTTTCTTGGTTTTGTGAGCTTTTTGGTCAAATTCCAGCATTTTTTGATTTTTTGAAAATTTTAAAAATTA